GGGGTTGTTAACCAATGTCATAAAACAGCATGTGTGTTACTGTTACATGAGAAACTATCTGTTCTGTAAGCCTTCACCTGAAGTACAATAAAATATTAAAAAAAAAAAAAAATAAAGTTGTCTGAACCTAATTTGACAGCATTTTTTAATGGTTCAACTTAATGTTCACTGAAGCAATTTTATTTTTGTACTGGTGGTTCATTGGTTTTTGTAATATTTATATAGACTATGTAACCGTAATCACGAAAACAACTGCCACAGGCAGGTTGGGAGGAAACAAAACTAGCTTATGTTAAGAACAAAACTCAGCTGCTAGGAGAAGAACCAGCCCTGTGTGTGTGCCACAGCCACTGGGCGTGTTGAACAGAGGTGACAGAGAGTACTGAATCCTGAAAGGCAGTTGAGACAGCCTGTACTGCAGGCTAAGGACTCAAAGGGTGTGTAAGCTGGTGGCTCAGTTCTCGGTCTTCATCCCATCACCTTTAACATTAATGTTTTTTTCATAATAAAATCTTCTGGTTGAGTAAAACATAAATTGTAATTGGTTACTGATAACCTTGAAGAAGAATCAGATTTTTGAAAATTTCCACAGGATAGTATATACTTTGCTTTAAAAATATGATTAGCAAGTATTTGGGCTTATGCATCAGGTAAGGAAAATGGAGGTTTTGTTTGTATTTAATGAGCTCTAGTAATACAAGAACACTTAAACGTAGTTGAATTTTTTTTTAGCATTTTCCAAAGACGGGTAGACACAAATTTTCCAAGTGTTTTTAATAAGCTTGCCAGAAAGAAATGGAGTTAGTGGAGTGAGTCTAATATTATCATTAAATTAAACCTAGATATTTTCAGACACACTGAACTATTTCGTTTAATAAATAGAAATTCCAGAATTTCATTTAACATTGTAGATCATGAGAGTGGTTGCTATGAAAGACCACTGTAGAAGCGTTAAATATAATGAATAATGAAGCAGAGACTTTTGATATATTTGACTGTCAATCTCGCAGTTTTGTTATAGCATTTGAAGGTACTGATACTTTCTACATTTCAAAAGCTACTCTCTGGGAGGCATAATGCCTCATGAAAATAGCCCATAGGTGCAATCTACTTGTTGGCATTAGTTCATGACAGGGTGTTTGCAATTGCAATATTCTCAAATAGCATTTACTTTAAATAACTTTTAAGTAAAAACAAAGTAATATGCATATTTTGAGTTCTTAGCATATTCAGATTGACTTGAGAATGAGGAAAGAACACACACAGAAATAAAGGCTACATGTAGTACTCCTTCTAATCTAATTTTAACTCGTCCATGTGAATGGATTCTTGATATTCTCTTCCAATCTCTTATCTACTCTCAAGTTGGGTGACTTCTGAGACAGGATAGGTAGGTGTAAGAGCCAGGGTAAGGAGTCGGGGGAGATGGGAGTGGTGACGTGTCTTAAGAATTTAAGCAGTAGTTGGTTGTATGTTGATTTTTTTTTAAATTTTGTTTCATTTATTACACTCCATGTATTTATCTCAATGTTAAATTATCCCTTTCCATTTCAGTGAGATTAAAACTTAACCTTAGGTTATCTTTGGTTTTAACTTTGATATGATTTATGAAATAGTGTTTTCTAAGAAGTTCCTATATCTAACACCAGCATTTGATGAATATGTTTAAAAAGAAAACTTTGAAAATCTTAGTATTGAAAATTATCCTCATTGTTTAGAAACTTATAATTTGAGTAAGTGTACCTTAAAAATGAACACCATGCTTGTTTCTCTTTATTTTAGAATCCAGCAAGCTAAAGTGCAAATTCTTCCCGAATGTGTGTTGCCTTCAACCATGTCTGCAGTTCAGTTAGAATCACTCAATAAGTGCCAGATATTTCCTTCAAAACCTGTCTCATTGGAAGACCAGTATTCATGTAAATGGTGGCAGAAATACCAGAAGGTGAGAAAATTTTTTATGAATCTTCAAAAAGTGAAGACAGGTTGCTTTTTTCCTGTTTTAAGAATGAAACACAACTGTCATGATTCATCTCCGGACACCTTCTGTGGCAGTACTCTGAGGTTGATCATAGCTGGAGCTTCTAAAAATTTCATAGGCAGCTATTTACATAACAGCAGTTTGTAAACGTAGTAACATGTCATACAACTGTAAGTGTTCTTGATATTATGTTTATCAACTATGTATTAATTAGTAGCTTGAGATTTTTAATTCCACAAAAATCTCTTTTTAGATCAGATTTTTGGGTCTTGAGCCACAAGCACATTATAGGGAGAGGATAAGCTTGGGGTGGCACAGGATAGTAGTAGCATATGTTCAATCTGTACCAGACTTCTGAGAGAAAAGCTTTTCAGTTATATTTTTTGTAAAATGCTATTGACATCACAAAGATTGGCTTGAGATTTTGTTGTTGTTGTTAGTTGCTGTCGAGTTAGCCCCAACTCATGGCAACCGTATGTATGACAGAACGAAACATTGCCTGGTTCTGCACCATCCTCACCATCTTTAGTATGTTTGAGCCCATTTTTCCAGCCACAGTGTCAATCCATTCTCATGGATGGCTTCCCTCATTTTCGCTGGCCCTTTACTTTACCAACCGTGAGGTAATTTTTCTAGTAATTTTCTAGTAATTGGTCCCCCCCCCCGATGACATGTCCAGTGTAAGCAAGACAAAATCTCACCATCCTCACTTCCAAGGAGCGCTCTGGATGTACTTTCTCCAAGATAGTTTTGTTTGTTCTGGCAGTCCATGGTATATTCAGCATTCTTGGCCAGCAACACAATTTGAATGCTTTAATTCATCTTCGATCTTCGTTTTTCATTGTTCAGCTTTCATATGCATATAAGATGATTGAAAAGACCATGGCTTGGGTCAGGTACACCTTAGTCCTCAAAGTGACATCTTTGGTTTTTAACACTTTAAAGGTCTTTTGCGCAGATTCGCCCAATGCAAATACATTGTTTGATGTCTTGACTACTGCTTCAGTGGGCATTGATTTTTGATCTGACCAGCCCAGACCTGTTGCTGTCAAGTCGATTCTGACTCATAGTGACCCTGTTTTAATATTTGATATTGTTGACCTGAAAAGAACAAAACCACACACCCGTTGTCATTGAGTCAATTCCAACTCATAGCGACCCTATAGGACACAGTGGAACTGCCCCATAGAGTTTCCAGGGAGCCACTGGTGTACTCAAACTGCCAACCTTGTGGTTAGCAGCTGAGCTCTTAACCAGTTTGCCACCAGGGCTCCCATTGTTGATCTAAGTAGAATGAAATCCTTGATGTCAGTATTTTCTCTGTTTATCATGATGTTGCTTATTGGTCTGTTTGTGAGAATTTTTGTTTTCTTGATGTTGAGGTGTAATCCATACTGAAGGCTGTAGTCTTTGATCTTCACCAGTAAGTGCTTCAAGTCCTCTTCACTTTCAGCAAGGAAGGTTGTGTCCTCTGCATATCACAGGTTGTTAATGAGTCTTCCTCCAGTCCTGATGCCATGTTCTTCATATAGTCCAGCTTCTCAGGTTGTTTGCTCAGCATACAGATTGAATACATAAGATTGAATACAACCCTGACACACACCTTTCCTGATTTTAAACCACGAAGTATCCCCTTGTTCAATTCAAAAGATTACCCCTTGGGCTGTGTACTGCAGGTCTATGTTCCTCATGAGCACAATTAAGTGTTTCGGAATTCCTATTCTTTGCAATGTTATCCAAATTTATTATGATTGATACAGTCAAATGCCTTCACAGTCAAATGCCTTCACGTAGTCAGTAGAACACAGGTAAACATCTTTCTGGTATTCCCTGCATTCAGCCAAGATCCATCTGAAATCAGCAGTGGTATCCCTCGTTCCACATCCTCTTCTGAATTCAGCTTGAACTTCTGGCAGTTCCCTGTCAATGTATGGCTGCAGCCATTTCTTAATTATCATTAGTAAAATTTTACTTGCGTATGAGTTTTTTTTTTATAATTTCCACATTCCATTTGATCACCTTTCTTTATAATGGACACAAATATGTATCTCTTCCAGTCAGCCAGGTAGCTGTCTTCCAGATTTCTTGGCATAAACAAGCGAGCACTTTCAGAATTGCATCCGTTTGTTGAAACATCTCAATTGGTATTCCATCAACTCTTGGAGTCTTGTTTTACACCAGTGCCTTCAGTGCAGCTTGGACTTCTTACTTGAGTACCATTGGTTCTTCATTGTGTGTTACCTCCTGAAATGGTTGAACATTGACCAGTTCTTTTTGGTACAGCGACTGTGTATTCCTTCCATCTTCCTTTGATGCTTCCTTTATCATTAAGTTGTTTGTCCGTAGAATCCTTCAGTATTGCAGCTCGAGGCTTGAGTTTTCTCTTCAGTTCTTTTAGCTTGAGAAATCTGATCATGTTCTTCCTTTTTGGCTTTTTATCTCTAGATCTTTGCACATTTCATTGTAAACGCTTTGCATTGGATTGCAGAAGTTGGCTTGAGATTAGGTGCTCTTTAATAAAAAGTATTGCTTGTTTTGTCATTAATTCTTACATCCTTTTGGCTAGATCATTCTTTCTCTTAGAAAAAAAATTGATGAAGCCTGTTCTACTCATTAGCGAACGACATCAGTTTTGAGTAAATATTTATGATTTCTGCCAGAAGAAAAAGATTACTAGTTTCTAATTTAGAATAAAGTGGCTTTTTGAGGTTTATCTATTAAAAATATATAAAGACAATTTCCAGTATAACTTTAAAAATCCTGCATTAATCATCCCTTGTTCTTTGTCAAGTAGAGTAGTGAGGGTTTTAAATTATGATATAAAGTAGTATAGGATCCCAGTGTGTGTAACTTAGTATAGATTATTCATGAGGGGGAGTCCTTGGGTGGTGTAAATGGTTAAAGCTCTTGCTTGTTAACTGAAAGGTTGGAGATTTAAGTCCACCCAGAGGCAGGCACGTCAGAAGAAGGGCCTGGCCATGTACTTTCGAAAAATCAGCCATTGAAAGCCCTGTGACTCACAGTTCTACTCTGACACACATGGGGTTGCCATGAGTCAGAATCAACTTGACAGGAACTGGTTTTATTCATAAGGGAGTCTCATACACTGATCAGTGTAGTGTACTACTGCTTTGAATATTTTCAGTGGTAGAATTCATCCAGTTTTCAGAGAGAACTTTGTGCAAGGTGGTTTCTTGATGGGCATCAGGCTCATAACTGTGGGTAGACTTCTTGGTCCTGTTAGTCTGTATTTCAGTTGACCAGTCTGTGACATGGTATACTCTGTGTTTTAATTAGTGTTTCTAACAAGATTCTAATAAGAAAGCTATAATTAGACTGTTGATTCCCAGACAGCCTTGAAACTAATTATTTTAGATGGTCTAACAATATTGAAACTGCCTTCAGTTTGCAGGCGGCTTTTGTATAACTGTGCAATACTTCTACAGTCAAACCTGGTAGACACCTAATATACTTACACCCTTGTTTCTTTAAACAGTAGTACAGTGGAAGATTTTGCCTTCAGACTCATTTTACACAACTGTTGAAATAAGTATGTTGAAGATTCAGGATGTGGGCCAAGGAGTGGGTGTGGAATTTATGAACTGAAAATGACGTCTTATTTTTTGTCTTTGGTGTACTAATTAATGCTAACCATAAGTTTGTGTGAGTAGGGGATTATTGTACTTGTGTTGCATTTTCAAAAGGTACTAAGTGTTTTGATTTATATAGTAGTTTTTCCACACTAAGACTGATAGTTAAAAATTCTTAACCCATTTAAAAATCCTAAATTAACTCTTTGCAGAGTTGTAAGCATAGGGTGAAAGTGATTGTAGTTAATTCCTTACTGACTAGTCCTGTGTCTTGCCCAAAGTGTCTTGCAGTCTTAAACCTGAAGTTGGGTTTAACAAGTAAGATGGCTTTTTTAAAATTAATTTTTGTTTGAATTACTGATTAATTTCTTCCTATTCTATGTGTAGAGCACCTCAGCTTGTTCACATTGAAATCAGAATTAGCCCTTTGCAGCTGGATTGGCACTGGCTCATCAAGAGCAAGACAAGACAGACCTGCAAAGACTGAGGAAGCACATATTGTCTGGGACCAGGTCCTCTGACCTTTCCCTACTCTCTTATTTTTCCAGTCATTGTGTACTTTCAAACATTAGCCCTCAGTTGTTTTCATGTTCAGAGTTGCCAACGGCTAAACGTAAGGTACTAAGAGGCTAAGGAATTAGGCATAAAATGTTTTAGGAGACATAAATGCCTTCATCACGTGTGTTTTTCAGATGGTCTAAAGGGTTCCCTTGTTTAAACTTTGAATATAATTTCTTAGGTTCTGAAATGTGGGATCTAGTTCATTAGGCCAAGAAAAATTGTTAGCAGATCTATTTTGGGCTCCAGGTGACCTGTAGACTCTGTTCCACTTCAAAGAGACCACTTCTAACCCCTCTGTGTACCTTAAGAAGTGGAATCTAGCACAGGGAAAGGAGGTGGCAGGTACCACAAGTGGGGACTCCATATGCATTTGGTCTCTGGAGCCATCTCAGTGGTCTGGCTTGTTGCACCTCTGGCTGGACAGTAACTTGCCATGGGACTGGCATCTGTTATAGTTGCTTGACTTTGGATCTAGGGCTGAGATTCACTCCTCTCTTCCTAGAGTTTACTCACATCTGACTCACATGTCACACCATGATCTGAAGCAGCACCACTGTGTGTTCTGTCTCCTGTCTAACAAGTAAGTAAGGTGGTCAGAGTTGGGAGTTGCTTAGAGGAGTCTAAGCTGACTAGGGCTAATCAGGCTGCCACACACTTAGCCAGTAAAAAAGATACTTAAAGGATCCAGGTGCGTAGTCTTCCTGAGAGGTATTCAGTTAACCTTGAAACTGTGCACACACACCTCTTTACATTTGCCATTGAAGACTAAACATCCAAAAAAGCATAAAATAAAATTATTTAAGCTTCCAGAAG